TGAACCAAGGTCAATCTCTATACTTCTGCTAGAACTTTACCTACCCACCCCAAAACCACAGGATCCTCCCACACTATATCCAACCTTTCCTGGCATCCAGATCTAACTTCACAATCAAATCTTAAACCAGCAGGTTCATTCTAGACATTAGCCCAGTCCACTTTGTCCACCTAACTTCATTATACCAAAGCCACTTCTACCTTCTAGGCCTAACCTACCTTCTTATCCTCCTTTCTATTCTGGCCTTCTCTATCCATATCGTACTTAGAACTAACAAAAGAAGTACACATGCCTAGAGCTCATGACAAAATACAAACAATATAAAAGAACAAACCAGTATATTCTCTCCCTCTCCAAAATAGTCTTGTATAAATGTTTGCCAATGAAAATTACCCAAAAGAACTCCAGGATACTCAACTTAAAAGAAAAATCGTAAAATTCATCAAAGAATTCAAAGAGTTTTAAAAAGACACAAAGAAGCATTTTAATTAAATTAAGGAGAAAGTAATTAGGAGACTAAACACTTGACTAATGCCCAAGACATGAAGAAGACAATCCAGTTCATGGAAATATAACTCAATAAGAAGATAGAAACATTGAAGAAGACTCAAACTGAAATGAAGATGGAGTTGAAAAACCCAATGATTCAACTAGAAAACTCAAAGAAAACCTTTTTTCCCCTCTATGATCTTGTTGGAGATTTCTATGACATTGACTTGGGATTTTTCTCCCAGTAATTCAAAGGTTTAGTGTTTTCATGGTGTCCTTTATTCCCTTTCTGTCCTTTTTCTATTGCTTATTTGTTTGTTTGTTTTTCTACTCCTTGCTCATTTTGTCCAGATGGTCTTCATTTTTGAATCCTGATATTTTATCTTTTGCGTGATTCATTCTATGTGTAAAGAGGAGGTCAACAATTTAAACAGATCCAAGGAAAGCTTTACACATAGTAGCCTCTGAGTTACTGGTCAGAATTTTCCATTGCAAACTGTTGCCATTTCCTTTGGTTGACTCCCTCCCTCCCAGAGGTGGAAGTATGTCCCTGTTTGCTGAAGATACCATGGACTTCAGTCACAGGGTTCAGAAGATCCTGACCTTGAACTGACTTGAATGTCTCCCCATTGAAGACCAGTTTTCATGGTACCAGAAGACACTGGGAAAGATGTCAAAGGAGGAATGCAACAGACAGTCCTACCTAGATCTAATGCCTATGGCAACAACTACCTACATTGCACTATAGCCTTATGGGGGAAGTAGTGGCATTAATACCTTGGTGGTAACCAACAGCTCTCTATTCAGACTTACAACCTGCGCAAAAAGGTAAATCATGCTTGGTAATGGAAACCTAATATTGAAAACCACTACCAGGGAAAACATCCAACCACCATTTTACTAAATCATCATAATTCTAAACAACAATTGCTGTGGGATGTTCTGTATGTCCTGTGGGAGCCCTTCTTGAGTTCTTTGTGGCATTACCCAGCAGGTCCGCATAGAGGATGATTAGGACCATGGGCCTGAGTGCAGGTGTCTGAGATGGTCTGCACTTGGTTGTGCTGGGGGATGGTCTGTATGTCAAGTTGTTCTGATTGATCAATAAATAAAACCTGATCGGCTGTGGCTAGGCAGGAAGGATAGGCGGGACTAACAGAGAGGAGAAAAAAAAAGACAGGAAGGCAGAAGGACTGAC